TGTTAACAAAATATAATTGTAAATATTTTAAAATTAATTTAGAAATCTTACTGATACGATGGGACACCCGATATAATTTGTATGAGAGCATAAGTGGATCAGCAATAAGATGTCTAAAAAATTAAATATTGTTTTAAAGTCTGGCTGTAAACTAGTAATAAATGTGGACACCGATGAGGTTAAGACAATCAAAGACTTGAAGTGCTTTCTTAGTGGCATCTATTGCGAGGACACCGACAAAATGATTTTCATTCACAATGAGCAAGTTAGATTAGAAACGATTCATCGTATATATTTACTGGTTGGACCTAAAAGAGATGAATATGCCATTAGTAATATCGCATATAATGATGAGATTATTATTGAGAGTAAAGCAGATCCCGGAAGTGATCAAATCGATGGCCTATCGAAAGAGATGAATGATTTGAGGAAAGAGTTGTCGCGTTGAAGGCATCCAATGATCGTATCGTTTGCGAGAACCAGGAGTTGAGACAAAAGTTAAATCAAATGGACATAAGGTTTGTGTCAATCATTGATTGCCGTATAAGTCATATCTGTGTCATGAAAACGAAACTTATATTTTGAAAATAAAGTGAAACTTAATTAAAACAAACATTCGTTTTGTTTCACAGAATATTAATATTTATTTATTGATTGCATGTAATAGTGGTTCAGAAGAAGGCAGTAGTGATGGGAAGGGATCACAGAATCCGATGAAGAGAATGACAGATATTTTGACACAAATCCTAAATGAGAGCCAAAAGACTAATAGTTTAATGAGTGGTGAGAAGGAAAAGGCGTTCAAAACACTGGAAGGCATCCGACAACTGGTCGGCAACACAGACACTGAATCGACGGCCAGTACCACACCGTAGGTATCAATACTATTGCCCACTATTTATGACATATTCATTGACTTAATTCACACAAACAATTAGTCAAGCATTTTAAGACTTAAAGGCAACTGTTAATACGAATTACATTTAAAACATTAATTATCGTGGTTATTTTTCAATTACTTTTTATATAATGAAAACAATTTATTATTCAAAGAACAAACAGGTAGTCAAGCATTTTAAGACTTAAAGGCAACTGTTAATACGAATTACATTTAAAACATTAATTATCGTGGTTATTTTTCAATTACTTTTTATATAATGAAAACAATTTATTATTCAGAGTATAAGCACTTTATTTGTATTCAAATTACTATTGTTTGTGACAATTCTGGGAAAAATTTATTTCTATTAATAGTGTTTAGCATTTAATTATCATTTCTTATTATTAATTATAAATTATCACTAATTTCTATACAATTAAGTTGAATAATTCTCCCTGTATACAATATTTTGTGTGAACAATTAAATACAATAATAGATTTATGTTTAGCATTTAATTATCATTTCTTATTATTAATTATAAATTATCACTAATTTCTATACAATTAAGTTGAATAATTCTCCCTGTATACAATATTATATGTGAACAATTAAATACAATAATAGATTTGAATAAAACTAATATTTAAAGTTCACTCCTGTCTTTAGCATAATTACTGACATCCATGTCCAACCAATTAGCCCATGTGTTATTATGTAGCTCAGGGTCAGCCCTATCATCTACCGGTGCGAGTGTTAACGGGTATACAGATGTCTCGTTAAAGTGAACCAATTTCTGCCACAAGAATCGCACGAATTGGGGATCCGTTTCCCCAATCAGGTTATGGTATTCGCACGGGTCGTCCCGTATGTTAAACAAACACAACTCTGTGTCAGTACAGTGTAAAGCTTGCGAAGGTGTAGTTCCGCACTCAACGACAGACCCCTTAAGCACCTCATAATCGGGTCGTCTATTCATTTGCCGCAACACTTGATATGATTTACTATTCAAGCGA